TGTGAATATACAAAAGTGGAAAGAGTAGAATTAGAACCGCCAAACACTAGTTCGGTTTGTTTCGAGTCGAGATCGGCTGGTTTTGCTTTGCAACTCCTCAATACGTGTCTATTCAAATGCGTTGTGCTCGAACCAGGCTTCCAACTAAGTTCTTTGCCACAATAATTGCAACATGCTTTCCAAATATCTACTCCATTTTGAACACCAATTTTTTTTCGTGTCATATGTTGCCAACAGTCCGATGATTCTTTTTTTGGCCTTTTTGTCTCGAGTACTTGAACTTCTTCCTCTTCAATATCCTCCAAATTAATTGGAACATTTTCACATGCATCGTAGTTAGATGGAGTACTCGAACTACCGCCAAACTGATTAACTTCATCACTTGTAAAATCCATAATAACTAGTATAATAAAAAATACTGATAAAGCGAAAGAAATTGAATATATTAATTGTTATATGAGAAGTGAGAAAGAAGAAATTGAAACTTGAATCTGAATCTATGATATAGAAATAATACGAAGTAAAATCGATAGCAAAGTGATTTAAAATTTCAAAAATCATCTCGTATTTATAGATAAAAAAACCCGCATTATTTTTCAAATTTGAATTTCAAATTTGAATTTCAAAAATATAACAGTATAATGTACTAAATTACTAATAGTCTAATACGAAAAAAAAAAAGGCAGCTATATAGCTGCCCTGCCCGGCTGCCCCCCTACCCGGCAGCTGTAACCTGCTGCCTTAGGCAGCAGGTCACGCCTGCTGCACGGCAGCAGGCCAGCTGCCGTGCAGCAGGTAAAAAAAAAATTTTTTCAAAATTTTTTTTTTTTTTTGGGCTCGGGCTTTTTCCGAGCCGAGCCACGAGCCGCCCGAGCCACCGAACCTTTTTGACACCCCTAGGTGGGGGTGGGGACTATGTATACCAGGACAACAGATCACTAAAAAATACAAGTGTTATTGTTCCTCAGATGTGAAATCTTCATTAGGCTTATAAGCTTCGATATCATTTTTGCTAACACAAGTTGACATTTAATTATCTTCAATTAGCCAATTAGCCATATTTTGCATGCTCAATATTGTTTAATTCACTAACCTGAAGGCACGTATAATAAGAATAGACAACTGATGTGCATAATTGAAGGTGAATTTTGGTCGAAGTGACTACAATGATATATAGATGACAATTAGTAAGTTGAGTTCATAAAAACGAAGAGGGAAATGCACAATTGAAGTGATTAAACGAAATATTTGCATGATTGCTAAGACTTGATTTAACTCCTTCAACCAGCAAAGGGAGTATAAACTTGTAAAACATGAAAAGAAAAGGAGAGGAAAAAAAAAAACTCTTTCATTTTCTACAAAGTGTGTAGCAAACTTTCCGTTGTCCCAACTGAATTTGTCTTCGTAGGGATTTAAGAAAGCAAAAATGTCATATGAGAGGAAAATTAGAATGAAGATAAGAAAAAAGAAATTACGAAATATCAATAGTTGTGGCAGTGTTGAATGATATCGTTGTAGTATCATCATCCAAATAATCAATAAAGGTTTAGTGGGTCATTTATGATATTTGCAGAAGAGAAGGTCTCACGTTGTAACCATTGACATAAAATTTAGAGGGGGTCACTTCTCATCAGTCGCGCTTATGCCCCAAGCAGTTTCATCACAAAGCTCACTATATCTAGTTTGTTTTCTAATATAGTTGAAACTACCCTGAGGTTATTATAGATCATATTACAATCAAAAAAAGGTTAAGCAAGCACCTTCAAGAAAGAACAGAGAAAGGGACAATACAGCACCTCCATCCAAGAAAGCCAGGCTGTTGCGAGTGTTCTCAACCTCTTACAAAAAAGTGGATAATTAAAGCTCTGATATTTTTCCCTGAATAAAAGTTTAAGGAGGCATATATCAAAGATACATACCTCCAAGATATGAATGTAAGGCAGTCAAAGAGGTATCATATATGAATTCTACAGATGCAGAAGCACCACCAGATCTAAGATAACGACTAGCGAGGATATAACAACCAGAAATTATTTCATGTTCTACGAAAAGAAAATCAAATAAAATTGTGGTGATGCAAACCAGCTAACCATGGCCTATACTTTTTTGTTAATTGTAGCTAGTGAAATTGATAACCATATAATTAAGCTGACAGGAACTGAAGTCAGGGGCTGCAGGGTCATCTGAGCATATATTTCATCGGTCTCAACATCTGCCTAAATTTTACCAAATAAACACAACTGTCTTATGTCTAAGAATTCTCCATAAGATGTTCACAAGAAGACTACAAGAATGAGTAAAATATAAAGTTGAAAAACTTAACATACATTGTAATACTGTGGAGTTGGCAGAGCAACTGGGGTAGCAAACTCACGTAATTTGGTATGTGGGTATTGATTTCTTTATTAGTGGCGGCAGCAAACTGGCCAACATTTTCAAGTAGATCCATTATATTAAATTCAATCTAAATAGGACAGCCAATCTAATCCGTATGAAATTCATCAGTTCAATCTGAACACGGATCTAAGCTATTTTTAGCTATGCACAATTTATATTTATAATTCTACATTCGCATACTGTAGTAATCGGAAGTGGTACATGTAAATACTGTTATATATTTATGGTATAAATATAAAATGTGAAAGAAATAACCAAATTAGATAAAGTGCCAAAGTGGTGGAAAATATGACATTTGTGTGGGACGTCAGGGGTTCGAGTCACTCCCCACGCAGATATTAAAATGTCTTGATTGGGGCCTTGGCTCTTGGGCTTTCTTGACTAAAATAAATATTTTTTTTCTTTTTTAATGGGTAAAACTAACCAGTATTTTATGACTGTTTGTTTTTATAACAACCCACTAACAGCCATTAAAACACCCACTACTCAGTCATTAAAATTCTGCATTAACATGATGAAGATTGTTACTACCATCTTGCATATATAAACCCATATCTCGTTTTTGGAAAAATACACACAAAAAGACAATAGAAAAATCATCTTGCATCAACCCTCCTTTTCATATTCTGAATTTCTTATATTCGGGTTTTACATTTATTCTGGAGTACAATTGAGAATTCTAGAAAAACCATTCGTGATTGCTGCACAAGTGGTTTAAGATCGTTGTATCCTGGGAGTGATTGTCCACGGAGGTCGCAGCAATTATTGACGGACAATTTCACTTTAGGACATCGTGCTGTCACGAGACTCGATCGGACGATAAGTTTTATATTTCTGCATTATATTGTTCAGATCACTACTGCAGCTAATTAATTTTTTCCAACAAATATTGCACAACTTTTATTGGAAGTACCGTGAAAGGAAGGATGACAAAACATATCAAAGATACGAGGAAGCAATTTTTTATCATAACAGTACCTTTGTTGAGCATATGGGTAGTGCATGTTTAATGGCTGCGATTGATGGAATCCTATGGTTTTAGGCCAGCTATTACTGTAGCCATTTAGTCCATCTGCTTGATGTGAATTAGGGTTTCCATTATTAGCTCTTCTTCGTATATTTAAAGCCATTCCAGTATTTTCTACGTCCGTGAGACATTTAGCAACACTCCCACTTGGCAATGTACTGCTTTTCATTATGCTTTTCACGTCATATTTGCTTATTTTGAAATTAGTCACCACATTTAGTCCTCGAAATTTAATGACTGTAATGTCGTATGTTTCTGTTGCTTCCTTGTGTCCATGGAATCCGAAAAAGAAGAAAAAGTTTAAGATACTCTTATACTATGTATGTATTCAAGTCCAGTTTAGTTTATCAAACAAGCCATTAGAATACTGAAGGTTCCCAAGCAAGGATCTTTGTTAGTAGCAACTCTTCCAATCCTTGCTTGCCATATTCCATGCTGGTGATGTCTATCGATGAAGATATTATATGAGACGTGATTATAATAAACTAAAAATGTTACTTATCATGTATAATAATCTTTCATTTAAACTTTGAGCAGTAGCTCAGTAATCAGGTCTTGGGTTTGCTCCCCAACGATTACCAGTTCGGGTCCCCTCAGGACCACTGAGGTGAGTACCCGGTTGTAAACTTTAGAGCCCCGTGAGATTAGTCAAGGTGTGCGTAAGTTGGCGTGAACACCCATGGTCATTAAAAAAAAATTAAAATTAAAAAATCTTTCATTTGGTATTTTTCTCGACAGGGCAAAGAAATCAAGAGGGTCAAACATTAATATTCAAGAACTCTGTGGAAAACTTATAGTGTATATCCCCAGTGTTTTAATGCTACTAAATCGTAAGTGCCAGCAGCCTTTTCTTCTTTGTCATATCCTCCTATATGAGTTTACACAAAAGAATTGGAAGTTAGATCAAATTTATTAAAACAATAGTACTATTTTCCTTTACAATGGAAGAATATGCTAAAAATCTATTTTCCTTTACAATGGAAGAATATGATAATAAGAAAAAATAAAAAAAAAAAAAAAAAAAAGAGGTTCGATTACCTAAATAAACTGTAAAAAGATTGAATCAGCCTCATCAAATGCATTGGGAAAATGGAGGTGAAGAAACAGGAATTAAAACCACAAAATCTCTTCATCACAGAAATTAAAAAATGAAATAATTAATGGCAAACACTTAATTCAATACTTACCTTCCTTTCCAGGTCTGTCCTTCTCTTCTACAACTATTATCCGATAAATGTGCCTTATATCTGTCAGTCCAGCTATGCCTACAGAAACCCGACCACAATCTGCTCTATATTAAAATATACTTCTAGAAAACATGCAATAACAATGAAAATATCATAAATATTCAAAAAATGAAATGAAAATAACCTCGTTATACCGCCGTTGATGGAAGTTTATCGTCCAAATGTATCAATTCATTTCCTTAGCATTGAATCTATTGCACCAGTTTGGCTATCAAGTGCATTCCCAAAATTTGCACCAAGTTAGCATTGAATATTGACATAAATTTTAAGCATAGTACCCCTCTCTCTCTCTCTCTCTCTCTCTCTGTGTTTTTCTTTTAAAACTTTCCTTTTCCATCAATTGGCCAGAAGAAACACCCACCCATCCACCATATAGTTCGATAGATGAATATAATTCATAGGTGGTGGCGAGCTAACTAAAATGAGAAACAGAAACCTTCAGAAAAGCGAACTTGGATGCTCGATTTGAGAATATATAAGGACCTAACTTGAAAATAAGAGATACAAACTGCATTTTGAATATTTCACAACAAATGTCTTACCTATGAGACCATATTTTCGTAGGAAGTTAGCTGCTGTTGCAGCATCCCAGTCATACATAGCATGAGAAAAATGCGTTATAAGGAGAGTATTTCTATACACAATTTCCAGTTTAAAGCACTTGAAAAGGGGGGAAAAAAGGAAAATACTAGTGTTTTTTAATTATGTAAAATTGAGCATACCATGAATTCAATGTCCTACTAAAAGAAGGAAAAGAAAACTGCAAAGGTTTTCTTGTGGTTATATGCATTGAATAATTAAGAAACAAATGGCTGAATATGCTCTAGTGTCGTAATATTTTAATTTAATTTCTTCAGAAATCATAAAGAATTAGCCATCCGTTGTAAGAAATTAGAATCATAAGCCGATACACACCCTTGCAACTAAAAGACATGCAATAATCTTACCATATGATTAAGCTCTCTTTCCATATGTGTGTTCAAAAAAGTCTGATAACCCTCTCGACCAGCCTAAAAAACATAGTTTTCTCCACCTAGATAGTGTGTAACCTGTAGGCATAAAAAAATTGATCCCCAAATATGTATCAGAAGTAATGATATTGAAAAGTTGAACCCCCTATGTCCAATCAGACATCTCTCTCTTGAAATGGAATGTCCCAAATTAGTGAACGATATACCTCCGCGGTTTTCTTGACCTGTGCTGCAAAGTACACATATAAACCCAAAACAGGGATGCATTTTAAGAATTCAGCATAAAGTATGAAGAACCAGAGAAATCCAAAATCAATTAAATTGAACTTACAATGAAATATCACTTACCTAGTTGCTTATCCATGCATGTACCGGGGATGGTGAAACAATTGAGCTATACAACAGGGAGGATGAATCTTTGTCCCTTGATGATACAAACGGATGAATCATATGCAGATATGAAGGAAAACTATTCATATAATATAATTTAGCTCAACTTTATGTTGAAAGAGAACACCACTATCCGATTATCCCTCTCATCACTGTAAAATTACCTGAAGTTATCTGGTAAGAGCTACTACTTCATCCAAGTTTGCATTATTTTCCTGCAACAAGATATTGGATTATATCAAATTCATCACCGTATTACATTTTACAGTTTAGTCAAAATGCAAACAGAATGGTAAATTCGTCGCTGTTAAGAGAGGAGATGTATCTTGAAAACTTTTTTATTAATTAGGCATATAAGAAAGGAAGAAATAAACTTTGTCCTAGCCTTCCACTTTTCACAATTGAGTCAAAGGCACAAAGAGGAAGCTTGCTAAAAACGATGTGTTCACTTTTTTACCGTCAGGAGCAATGTCCCTGTCATGGAAGCACCACTTGTCTACTCCAAGCTTGTCTAGAAACTAAAAATTTGCTCTCACTTAATCGTCAAAAAAGAATATAAAAATTAAAAACTTCATTCTTCACCTATAATATTGCTAGAATACAGAGGAAAATATTTATTTCTTCTCTTGGCCATAGCCAAGGAGTTCGCGCCGTCTTCCCATGGCTACATCTCTGTAGGTCACCAAACAGATCACCTCCCATCCTATGGAATGTGTGCCAAAATGCAACATGGAATCACATCCACTCCTATGGTAGACAATGTATTCATCAAAGCCCATCAATTTAAATTCTCACAAATGGTTAAGAAATATCTCACCTTTATTTTTTCTCAAGAATCTCATCATCAGCATTATACCATTTAAAAGAAAGAGGATTCTTGCTAGAAGAACACTACATATACATTGAAAAACAAACACAGAAATATCCCATAGGTTAAGGTTGACTTAAGAAATGGACACTGTCAAAAGAATAAAAAGAAGTTAAATTTTGTTCATTATAGTGCTAAGTGATTAATCCTATCTAATAGGATGTATCAATTATGTTTAAAATATAGGACTCCAAGCATACAACATAAGTTCTAATCATCCAACAAATTGGGTGGACTTCTTCACCTCATACTTAATCTTAGGAATGTCAGGGAAGATCTCCTGACGCGGACATCATCCCCATTTTATCTTTTAGTTATTTATTTTGGGCTTATGTCTCATTGGGCTTGTATATGGGTTTGGCCCAAGCCCAAATTATTATTTTTTTATTTATGTTATTGTAATTGGGATTAAAAGTCAATTGATGGATAAATGAATTGAATTGTGGTTTGCCACCAACGTTTTTCTCCCTCCTCTAGTTTCTTCCCCTTTCTTCTTCTTCTCCGGCTCTCATTCTGTCTGCTTCTTCTTTTTCCAATTGTCTTCTTCTGCTGGTTATTTCAATTTGATTATCTTCTAATGTTTTAACTTCTAAAATTCTCAACTATCCTACATTAGATTTTGGTATCAGAGCCAAACCTGGTTCGACAAGCCAACTGCAATCATGAGTTATGGAAATTGCTGTTCAATAATACCAGTTAAACTCCCACTATTCCTAGCATTAACATCTCTCCAAACCAACCGGTAGGCTGCTGAATTCTTCTTCCGCAAACTTTGTAAAGTTATTAAGATAAATCTGGGTCATTTATCAGAAAGAGCGGCAACTGTAATTGTTTGTCCAATATATCTATAACTACAAACCGAAACTCTCACCATTATCTTCAACACGACAAAACCAGAGCACTTCCAAAAGTCCAATAGCCCATTGCATATATACTTAACACCCAAATTGCAGCCAACGACTTCTATACAAATATTTTGAGACCCATTACACCAAATCTGATTCCAAACTGTCGCCACAGTAACCTTCACCCATTGCAACCATCAACTTTCAACACCCAAGAACTTCAAAAAAAAAAAAAAAAAAAGAAGATCTATATTTGTTCAAATTTACCCCGAACAAGCTTTACTTACTTGAACGTTTCTCTAACTTTAAAATGGATCCTTCAAAGGATCTCGATGATAATTTAAATGTGTTTGACAAATTAATGCAAGATATTGTTAACTGTGATGAGGAACCCAAAAAAAAAAAAAAAAAAAAAAAAAAAAAAAAAAAAAACCGACTGCACTTACCCCCACATCTTCATCCACTTCTAAAACTACCCCAACTACATACAATCAAGACACACACCCCACCAATCTGCTGGTAACCCACGACATATGACCAGTAATTGAATACTTCAACCACAATCCAAGGTACAGAATTTAACAACCCACATACCGTCATCTACAGAGCCCATAAATTTATCCTTGTTTCTGACTAACCCCGGTCGACTTTCTTCCATCATCGACGAAAACCCACAGAAATTTCATTGACGGCATTTACAACACCACAGAAAACCCACGCTGCAGTCGCACCATCGCCAGACGACACCCACACCACCACCTCGAGTCCCGTCGCTTGCACATATATACACTCCCACCTCCGTTTGATGCTGATTGCCCCCGGGAAATCGACATTCTAGACGCTACAGACGTGATTTGTCTCACTGTGTTTGGGTCTCACAGTGTTATATACCTAGTTTGTGAATTAGACTTGGTTATGCCTTGTTTGTTTGTACAGTGTTTAGTTAACTTTGTTTGGATAAAAAAAAAAAATCGAAAAGAGGAAGTAAAAAAAAAATAAAAAAAAAAAGGGAAAAAAAGTTATTTTTCTAACATCATTTTTCAGATGCCTCTTTCATTCTAGTTGATTGGACGCAGCTTCTTCAAACGAACGAAAGGAAAGTCATTGTTTAAATTTATCCTCAGTTATATTGCTATTTATCTTGAATTGCATCGATTACCTTTTGTGCTGTAGTCTTTACATAAAACTCACATGATTAGACCCTATATTTGTTAACTCTTCGACTTGTCATATTTTCGCCTTTCCTCCCATTTATTTTACGTGATTGTGTCGTTAACTAGTGTTTGACCCCTGCTTTATTATTTTGCATAGACCAGCAGTATCAGCTTGACACATTTGAATTTTCATAATTTCAAAAAAAAAAAAGTAAAAAAAATAAAATAAAATAAAATAATTTAAATGCTGAAGTTGTTATTTTCATTTCTTGAACTAGTTGTTTATTGATCCCATCAATCATCGCATTAGGTTAGTGTTACATTGCATGCATTTGCTTAGTGGTCGTTTTGTCATACCAAATTCCAATACTGTGACCATGGACCCATCTCAATTTGATGCCCTTACTAGACAATTAGCTCAACTACAGGTCAATTAACAACCATCCAAACCGAGGTGACTACTACTCATGAGGAGAGTAGAGAATTAGCTGTTAGGGTGAACAATCTAGAGCAAACCTCCCCCTCAACCGACGCTGATAACTCTGAAGCGTCTCATACATACCCTATCGTCATCGACATGGTAGTCGACAGCGTGTTCGTCGTGAACGAAGGAATGGGGAACATGAGCGCAATCATGAACGAGACCATGACCCTTATGGAACTCATTCACCTCCTTGCTATGAGGAGCGTTAATTTCGAAACATCAAATTAGACGCTCCTACTTTCGATGGCTGTTTAGATCCTAGAGTTTTTACACGGTGGGTTAGAGACATGGATCGCTTCTTTTCTTGGTATGGAGTACCAGAGGATCGACGAGTTCAATTTGCCAGTTTGAAATTAACTGGTACTGTCCAACTCTTTTGGGAAAGCATTGAGGACCTTCTTGAGAGGCGTCATGCACCTCCCGTTGGAGGATGGGAGGAAATGAAGCGCCGCCTTCAAGAGAAGTATTTACTCCACTCTTATAGGAGCAACTTGTTGGACCAGTGAAATACCCTCACACAAGGAAACCATCCGATGACTGACTATGTTACTCAATTTGATGAGTTTCGAATGCAATGCCACATCGTTGAGGATGAAACTATGACTTTAAGTAGGTTCAGACAAGGCCTAAGAGATGATCTTCGGCGTGAGCTTGTCCTTCGAGGTGTCACCACTCTTGATCACGCTTATTCATTAGTTCGAGATTACGTGTCGATTACTAAGACTCCGTATGGAAGGCGTAGTGATAATCGTCCATCCATCTCATCGGCACCACCTCCTCCCACCAAATCTCTTCTTGGACCCCCACCGTCTAACGCACTCCCTGCTTTAGACAATAAAGGTAAAGCTCCGAAAACTTCAAGAACCTCTTCTCGTTTGCAATGCTTTAATTGTAAGGGCTTCATCCATATCTCCTCTAGATGTCTGAGCCGAGCCTTAGTTATTGATGAGCGAAAGGATGTCGTTGATGAGCCTTTAGAAGATCAAGTCTATGAGCCTAACTTTGAAGAGCTTGACGATTTGGGTAATAATGAGGATACCTTCTTAGGTTGCCTTCATACCCTTCCTGTAGGTCTAGGTCCTACTTATCTAGCCCCCGACACATCTCGGTTGAGTGTTGTACGTTGTACCCTTACCCAACCTAAGGATGTCGATGATTGGCGCCGTCATGCCATTTTTCATACTTACATCAAGATCAACAATAAGGGTTGTAAGATTATTGTTGACAATGGGAGCTGTAGTAACGCGGTCTCTGTGACCACAATATCCCGTCTTGGATTGAAGTCAGTCCCGCACCCCCAACCATATAGCGTCTCTTGGGTTGACACTTCTTCTATAGTTGTGAAAGAGCGTTGTCTAGTGCCTATCTAGTTCCTTCAGTATAAGGCTCATATATGGCGTGACGTCATCCCTATGGATGTTGAACATGTCATTCTTGATCGACCTTGGTTGTTCGATCTGGATGTAACTATCCATGGGCGATCAAATTCATGTTCTTTTATATTTAATGGAAAGAAAATTCACCTTAATCCTTTACCACCAAAATTTGTTGACTTACACCAAGCCAAAAAAAATTGTCGAGAGGAAATGATTACATGTGATTAGCCCTACAGAATTTGAACGGACAATCGTAAATGATTCAATCATATTTGCTGTGATTGTTATGGAAGTCCCGTTCGATTCCCTAATAGCAACCCTTACTGAAGCCCAATCACTCCTTTAGGAATTTAAGGATGTATTTCCTGACGACCTCCCTATTCTATTGCCTCCCTTACGGGATATTCAACATGTTATAGATTTGGTTCCAGGTTCGTCTCTCCTAAACTTGCCTCACTATAGAATGAATCCTGCTAAACATGTCGAGCTCCAGAAACAAGTGGGTGAGATCCTTCACAAAGGCTTTCATCTGTGAAAGCTTAAGCCCTTGTGCAGTTCCCGCCCTTCTGACACCTAAAAAGGATGGTTCTTGGAGGATGTGCGTTAATAGTCGCGCTATCAATAAAATAACTGTCAAGTATCGTTTTCCCATCCCTTAACTTGATGATATGCTAGATATGATGGCCGGTGCTACAATCTTTTCCAAAATCGATTTGAAGAATGGGTATCATCATCAGATTCGGATCCGCCCAGGAGACGAGTGGAAAACTACATTTGGAACGAAAGATAAACTGTAAGAGTGGTTGGTAATGCCTTCTGAACTAACCAATGCTCCAAGTACTTTTATGAGGGTGATGACACAGGCCCTTCGGCCTTTCATGGGCAAATTCATTGTTGTATACTTTGATAACATCCTCGTGTACAGCAAAACAAGGGAACAACATCGAGAGCATCTCACACAAGTTTGCTCTACATTGCGTGCAACAAGCTTGTATGCCAATGTAAAGAAATGTTCTTTCTTCACAGATACAATTGTGTTTCTCTGATTTGTTGTTTCCACTACGGGAGTATCTGCTGATCCTACAAAGATTCGGGCAATTGTTGAGTGGCCCGATCCCAAGAATATACATGATGTTAGGAGTTTTCATGGTTTAGCTACCTTTTATCGTCGTTTCATCAAAGTATTTAGTACGATCATGGATCCTATCACAAAGTGTATGAAGAGAGGAGAATTTCATTGGACACAAGAAGCGGCTAAGGCCTTTCAGTTAATCAAAAGGCGAATGACAGAGGCTCCTGTCATGCGACTCCCAGATTTTTGCAAAGTTTTTGAAGTCGAATGTGATGCATTAGGGGTAGGAATAGGTGGAGTCTTGAGTCAAAAATGCTATCCTATTGCTTATTTTAGTGAGAAATTAAATGATGCTAAGCAACGATACTCGACTTATGGCAAGGAGTTGTACGCAGTTGTACAAGCCTTGCGCTATTGGCGTCATTACTTATTACCCTATGAATTTGTCCTCTTTTTGGACCATGAGGCCCTTCGTTTCCTTAATTCCCAGAGACGATTGAATTCTAGGCATGGCCGCTGGATCGAATATTTGCAAGCATATTCTTTTGTCTTAAAGCATAAAAAGGGTGTCGAAAATCGAGCTGCTGACGCTTTAAGCCGTCGCATCTTCTTGTTGTCCGTCATGAGTGTTAAGGTTCTAGGGTTTGAAATACTTAAGGAAGAGTATGAGTTATGTCCTGAGTTCAGAGACATTTTTCTTGCTTTGCAAAATGGGGAGTTGGATACCATTGATGGGTTCCGTTTGGAGGAAGGCTATCTTTTTAGATCCAATAAGTTGTGCATCCTAAGGACTTTAGTGCGAGACTTTATAGTGTGGGAAAGTCATGCTAGTGGGTTGGCTGGACACAAGTTATTCCAATTCCTGACCCTTAATGGTCATATATGTTATTTCATTACTTGTAAGATTTATACACCCCCAAACTTATTCCTTTTCACTCTTTCCCAGCATGTAACCTAAGGTTGAATATTTCATTACTATCCTCACCCTCTCGAGTTTAAGTGGACGTTACTAGTTGCAAGTCAGCACTTCAGTGAACAAGGATTCTCCAATTATTTGATTTTTTCGACCCCAAGACTCAACTAGCTAATTATCTTGCATCAAAGGTCAAATTTTCTCATATAAGTGTTAGGGCTTAACCAAGATATTTAGTGATTTTGTTCTTTTCATGTACTTGCTTTTTTTTGTTTATCACAAGTTTTTTTCCTCCATTAAATTTTTTAGATGACCCCTGTAGCAGGTTTTAGGCCGATGACTCCCAAGTTAGATGATTTTAGAGCACCAGGTTTTAAACACCCTTACAGACTTACTAACCCGAGTAAAAAATGCTTCAAAGAGATCAAATTTTTTTCAAGTACAACTTCATCTCTCATTGCTTTCTAAATGACCTTTATAACGAGCTTTAGGCCGATGACTCCCAAGTCAAATGACTTTAGGGTACCAGGTTTTAAGATACCTTTATAGACTTAATCACTCGAGTCATAAAGGCTTCAGAGATAAGTTTAAAATTTTCAAATGTATATGCCTTGATTAGTGCAATGCCCCTTATCACACACTTATTCAAACAAACCGACCTCTAATTTATGACTTTCACTGAGTTTTATCATGTTAGTCTATTACAATCCACGCATAAGTTTTCACACATGAAATCCACATTCACATCCGCATCTTCCTACAACTGTAAAACCACCACTAAATTGTGCTAAATTTGGTCTAAGGATAGATAATTTATTATGGTTTAGGTAAAGCCTCTATGTCCAACTAGATCAACCTATCAAAAGCAAGAAACAACTCATTTAATCACAATGTCAAACTCAATTCTAGTGCGCTTGTAGTATCAAATTTTGCAAAGTTAAACTTCAATTAGTCTAGCATGCATCATATCTACAGTTCATAAATCAACACCAAATCTCAAATTAAATAATCTTTGTTTGCCAGCTGTCTAACCCACACAAGCACACAACTAAACAAAAGAGATTTTTTTCAATTTTTTTTTAAATCCTTTAAAATTTTCAATTTTTTTTTTAACAAACACACAAAAACATAAAAACATATGAAAAACGAAAACACAAAGTTGTTTTACTCCCAAACTTAAAACTGACATTGTTCTCAATGTCATATAGTATAAATAAGCATATAAAAGGTAAGGAAGAAAAGGAAGAAGATACTCCCCAGATTTTTTCGTTGAATGTGTGAGGTGTGTATATGTGACGACTGGTTAATCTTCTTTATCATGTTGTCTTTGGGTCTATGTTGGTTGGAGTGTT